AACTGGGACCTTCTCCTCGGTTACGTACTCTTTGCCGTCCGGGAGTGTCCCCAGGCATCCATCGGCTTCACCCTCTTCGAGCTGCTGTTCGGCCGGCGCCCTCGAGGACTGCTGGACGTCGCCCGCGAAGCCTGGGAGGAACAGCCGTCCCCGTACCGCTCGGTCGTGGAATATGTATGAGAAATGCAAGACAGGATCCACTGAGTGGCGCCGATAGTCCAACAGCACATATGCACCGCCCAGGAGGAACAGCAGCGGGTGTACAACCGCCCGGCGCAGCCTCGGGAGTTCCACCCAGGGGACCCGGTACTTCTTCTGGTACCCGGTAGTGCCTGCAAGTTCCTGGCCCGCTGGCAGGGGCTCTACACCATTCTAGAGCGTCAGGGCGTCGTCAACTACCGCCTGCAACAGCCCGGTAAGAGAGCGGACGGGAAACTATACCACATTAACTTGTTAAAGAAGTGGGTAGACCCAGCTCCGGTGGTTTCAGCGTATGCCGCCCTGGGCACAGATCAGAACAAGGAAGGAAGGACCCAAGTGGTGCGCCACCACATAAAGACACCTCCGGGGGTAGTGGTGAGACAGAGGCCCTACCGTGTCCCAGAGGCCCGGCGTAAGGCCATCGAGGAAGAGGTGGAGCGAATGCTACGAGATGTAGTTATCGAAGAATCCAACAGCCCCTGGTCCAGCCTTATCGTTGTAGTGCCAAAACCCGACGGGAGCATTCGGCTATGCAACGACTTTCGCAGACTGAACCAGGTCTCGGATTTTGATAGCTACCGTGCACAATCGGAGAGGGAGCAGCACTCGTCCAGCCGCACCCTAGCCCGTTCGCGAACGCCTCTGCTCGCCGGGGGACCCGCAAGGGATTCCAGCTACTCCAGACCAACAGAAGATCCGCGGCGCTGCGGTATCGTTACATTTAGGCGGGGTTCTGACTTAGAGGCATTCAGTCATTATCCCACAGATGGTAGCTTCGCACCAGTGACTCCTCGGCCAAGAACATGCACAAAATGTCTGAACCTGCTGTTCCGCTCGTACTGAGCAGGATTGCTATCGCAACAACACATCATCAGTAGAGTAAAACTATCATATCTCAAGACAATCTAATCCCAGCTCAAGTTCCCCGTTAGTGGGTGAACAATCCAACGCTTGGCAAATTCTTCTTCACAATGACAAGAAGAGTCGATATCAAAGGATCATAAAGCGACGTTGCTATGAACGCTTGTAAAGTTTGATTTCCACTGTGTTTAAAATGCCACCCTCTCTTAGATGACTTGGAAGTTACTTTCTTCCTCAGTCACATGACGATTTCACCTCCGTCTGATGGAGACTGAGGTCATGTTGGGAATAAAAGGTAATGGTGACCGAAAGTAAACTGAAGAAACTCATTATCGTTGACTCTGGTGTTTGCTAATTCTAGAATGCGTATGACGTCATGTGCCATCGTGGCTTATACTTCCGGTTAGTAAAAAAAAAAGCTAGTGTTATATTTGAAATTATATTACCTTTCTGAAATCCACACACTATAGTTCGTATAGAATACAATGCATAGTGTAAGTGTGTAGTACTTCATTTGGGACACAACTTTATTATTTACACTTCAAAGCATGTTTTCTGAACAGAAGTAACATAATGAGTAAATCTCCCCCATGCCGCACAGACCACTGTACACTTTCAACAGTATACAATTATACACTCATTTCATGTCTGAAACACTCCAAAAAAGTTGGGGCAGTTGACTGTTTACCACTGTGTAACATCTCTTTTTCTTTTACTAACACTTATTAAGCGTTGGGGCACTGAATATACCAGATGGTTAAGTTTAGCAAGTGGAATTTTCCCCCATTCATCCATTATGCATTTCTTCAGCTGCGTAAGGTACAGGACCTTCGTTGCCTTATTTTGCACTTCATAATGCGCCACACTTTCTCAATAGGAGACACGTCAGAACTGCAGACAGGCCATGCGCTTGTAATCTGAACAGAATGAGGTTTGGTGATGTCCTGCTCTGGATGGCAGCATATGTTGCTCCAGATGTGTACATATCTTTTCTGCATTAATGGTACCCTTACAGGTGTGCCATGAGCACTGACACACCTCCATATCATGACAGATGCTCGCTTTTGGACCTGATGCCAAGAACAGCTTAGATGGTCCTTTTCCTCTTTGGCCTGGAGAACACAATAGCTTTTTTGTCCAAAAACTATTTGAAATGTTGACTCGTCGGACACGATTCCACTGTGCTATAGTCCATCTCAGATGAGGCGGCGCTTCTGGACTGTGTTGATGTGTGGCTTCTGCCTTAACTTGCATCTGTGGATGCAGCGGCGAATGGTATGCATGGTATTAGCATGGTATAGCATGGTATTAGCATGAATGTTGAAGCTTTGGAAGCTGACATGTTTGAGCAGAGTGTACAGTTGAGAAGGTGAGAGAGCAGGACAGAGTAAACCCTAAAATGAAGCTGCATCGCTCTCCCATGCACCTGTATTAAACAACTTTAGATCATTTAGCTATATAAGTTAGCTAAGAGTTACTCTCTTTGAGATGATGCCAACATTTGAAATGGGTAAATCTCTGAAAATGCAAAACACAGAAGCTATTCTTGAGTGCCCACTGAGCCACTCTTCTGTTTAATGGAATTTTCCCATAAGAGCATCATTTGTGGACTCTCAATAAATAAGCCCTCTTACTAACAGGGAGAATCGTGTCCTGCAAGCTGCCAAAGAATATCTCAGCAATGGTGAGGTTTGAAAAATTGATGGCTCACGGTTCTCAAAAGCTGGGTCGACAGATCAGTGAGATTTGGATATGGCAAAAACCAGTCTACTTTTATTTTACATCTTGATGAGAGCTAATAACACAGAGCTGCTCATTTATGTCAGAGTTATCTGATCAAAAAAATATAGAGAATTATTACTTTACAAAGCAACTGGAAAACTTCAGTGTTAGAAGAATGCATTAAATCTGACAGCACTGGTCAGAGTCTGTGTGCTGGAGTGTATAAAAACTACAGGATCATGTTAACTTGACTATGGTGTTATTTTTGTGTCAAATTTCTGCACATCTAAGAACATATTCTGAGCACACAAAAAGGTATTTCACACGCGCTTGAACTGAGGATTTGCAAATAGATGTAGCGTTTGCACAGAAGATAACATTTTGAGCACGTGAAAATCAATTTTGTGAGTGAAAGGTGTTTAAATGGATGTCCACATTTGTCTAACAACTATGACAGCTTTGTGTATACTTCGCCTCGTGCGTAGAAGCTCTTACTCTCGCTGTCTCCTCTCATCAGTCCCACGCATGCTGACCTACAACTGCTTTCTCGCTCGCTCATCACAGTAACCCCGCCCACAAAGACACTGGCAGGATTAGAAGTGAATTAAACTATTTGTTACTCTGTACAAGTTTGCAAACCCTCAATTTGGTATTTTAGTATGACTGGACTATTAATGAATATTCATTCAGAATTAATTCACTTTTAATCCAATTAAATAAAAGGATTAAGTTCATAAAGAGGTACATCATTTTGGTTTTGGTCTTCTAGTCTTCCTTGTCAGATGAAAAGTAAATATAATTGGTGTTCAAACTGGGCATTCATAATCTACCCACTCTGATTGGCTGAATATCCTGCCAGTGTCTTTGTGGGCGGGGATCCTGTGGTGAGCGAGTGAGCAGTCGAAGCTCAGCATGCGCAAGACTGATGCCATTAGACATTAACATTAGACAGAAATTCTCAAGAAGTGAAAAAAAGTAGAAAACATATCAACTGAGGGAAATTATACATTAGATTTTCATAACTTTGGATCCTGCCATATAGACAGTTCAACAATGAATAGCACCCTTGGTAATGATTGGCAAAGAAAGGTTAAGAAAAATGTTTTTGTGATTAATAAGCTTAATCTCAGACCAAAAATATGAGAGAAATTTAACATTTAATTAGTCATTTAATTATTGAAAAAAATATCTGAAGAATTTGTTTCACCTGCTTGTATGTTAAGGTCAAAGCAGAACTAAGAGGAATGTCAATCCTAAGGAGGAGTCAAAATGGCACTGTGAACATGCATAGATCATTTCCCTTTCTAATGGCCCTCTTAAAGGAATAGTTCATAAAAAATGAAAATTCTTTCATCAATTACTCACCCTCATGTCTTCCAACAAGACTTTGGAACACAAATGAAGATATTTTAAATGAAACCTGTGAGATTTCTGTCCCTCCATTTACAGACCTTATGAATAAAGACATCATTTTAGTGTTTTTTGTACACAGCAAGCATTCATATTGATTCATAAACTTGGGATTAAACCACTGGAGACACATGGTTACTTTTACTATACCTTTATGAACTTATTGGAGCTTGAAAATTTTTGGTTACTGGACTGTAAACAGATGTATCTGTAAACAAAATGTTTTCATTTGGGTTCCAAGGATGAATCCAATGTCTTACGGGTTTGGAACGACATGAGGGTGAGTAATACATGACAGAATTAAAATTTTGGGGTGAACCCTGTTAATGGACAATGTTATATGCATGGCACTGAACCTCACCTGACAAATTACAGAAACACCACCTTTCCCACTTTTCCCATGAGACACAAAACATGTTCTGTCTCTCAAACAGACTGGCAGAGGGTTATGAAATACTATATTGTGTTCCTGAACTGGATTTTATGCTTTTTGACCGAGTTATAGAAACAGGTTGATATTTTTAATAGGCAGTGGTTACCGAGTTCACAAATTGCTCAAAATTTATTCATTATTTTATTCAAATTCAGCAGCATATTCAGTGTAAATATGACCTGGAATGATACAGAGGTAGGGGATAGTCTAGTGATGTTGGAATAATGTAATTAGATTGCAATATGTGTAGATGGAAATTTAAAAACAACAAAAGACACATATGCCTAGACAAGCCACATGCTATCGGGTAGATTAACCCAAATCAAAGTACATAACATGTTACAAAGTAGTTGCTTAATACCACTGCTTGGGGTCAGTGGTAGCTTAGCGGTTATGACGCTGGACTAAAGATCAGAAGGTCATGAGTTCAAATCCTAGCACAGAGAAGCTACCATGCTGGGCCCTTGAGCAAGGACCTTAACCCTCAAATGCTCAGTTGTATGAATTAGAAAAATGTAAATAAAATATAATAAAAATAATTTTACTTTTAAATTCTAATAGAATTTCAGGCTATGTACTAACTGTAGTTTTTACCCTTTTATGACACATTTTCAGCATGGAAAAAAGTCCCCAAAAATAGCTAACAGCAGCTGTTGTTACATCAGTACTTAAAGGGTCATGAAACCCTTTAAGGATTTCAGCTCAAGTCAACCTATCAATGTTTTTTTTTTTTAAATGCAACTTAAGTGGGTGTAGACGGCTGTACAAGAAGGGATGGGGAGGAGGCGTGGTAGGGAAAGGCAGGAGAGGAAGAGGTAGGCGAGCCTTCACAAGACTCAAAAAAAAGATGGATAGTGACAAAGTTTGCAGATGAGGCAGAGGACTTCTCTCCTCCTGAACCCCCAGGGCTAAATGTAGACACAGTAGATAGCAGTGCAGGTACTCTGCCCTATCAATTTGAATCATTAGCCCCTGGCGTGACTATGGAGGAAAATATAAAATAATACCGGAGGCAGTGCGCATGGGAGAGATATCAGAATGGATACTCTTACACCACTAAAACAAACACCTCCAACATATTTGAACGCATCCACTACATCTGTAGGAAAGCACCACGTGCTGTCATGAATAATTAAGAGATGGCATCTTCTCGTAGGATAAGAACACACAGGCTCATGAATATTTATGAGATACTGACATGTTATCGAAGTACTATAGTACATTGTCATGTCACTTCCTGTGGCCAAGATTTTAAACCAGGAAGAGGAAAATAGTGGAAAAAAGCTAAAAAATTAACCAGCTTTCACCTACAATTAAAATGAACAGATGCTCAGTTAGTCTTTTATGATGTGCGATATGAACACCTCTGTTAAAATCTCAGAAAATGTAGTCTAGTGTTTCATGACGCTTTAAGGAATCACAACTCAACCACTCCAATCTTTCAAATTATAGTCCAACCTCCAACATGCTTAGTCGAAGATTCCGTCCCACAAATTCAATTCCGTTTCTAATAACAAGAATGATGTATGTTGGCAATAGAATAAAAAAGACAAAACAATTATTAATACTCACAAGGCGATTGAGGTATTAGTTTTCACATATATTCCTTCCTTATTACACGTAACAAAAATTTGTTAAAGTTTATACGATAAGATATTTCAGATATTGTTTACAAAACAAATGTGGAAAAATATATCCATTCAAATGTTTGCATCTCCCTTTCAATGTATAATAAATATTTCACAATACCCTGTATGCCCATTCTGAGCCTTTATAAATGCCTTCATTTCATCTTTGACCACTTTTGTTCTAACCGCCAGAAGTCAATAATACTTTCTTCAAAATCAGAACAGAAGTGGGTCAAATGTTTCTTCAAAAATGCTTTTTAATAATAATAATAATAATAATAATAATAAAGTTCCTGTATATTTTACTGCATGTTTTTGACTGGTGTCTTGGCAGAGACCCATATTTTTTAACCAGAAACCATAAGGGATACAACCTTTGCTATTCAACAGTAAATCTATAGAACCTAAATTTTGTAAACTAATGTTTCTGATCCATTCTAAGAGACAATATGAGCGAAAAACCCTCACCAGCCATTTTAATTTGAATACCTGCACACTTCAACAGACAACAACAGTTGTACAGGCAACAGTACAACGAATGCATAAAATGTCACTTTGGGCCCCTTAATACCACTCATTTGGATGCCAAAGCCTATCGGAGTATTGCTGCGACCACATACATTACTTAAGAGCCACGATGGATCTTAATAATAATAGCTACTTCCAGCATGATAATGTGTAATGTCAAAAAGCACAAGTCATCTTTCAACAAATAAGAACAAAATACAATATTCAAAATACACTTCTTTTTTTTTATATATATATATTTACAGATCTGTACCTTTATGACATCAAACACTGCTCACTTTCCAACATTACCTACCGAATCATACTTGATAACATTTTGAAAATCCACCCATTTTTGGGACGCTACATTCGTTGATTAGTTCAAAAATGTTTGACAAAACTGAAGCAACAATGGGAAGGTGAAGTTAACTCACAATTTTCAGAAGAAATATGGCAAGATATTCTAAATAAGATTGACTCAACCTCAATTTGTTCACGACATACAATCAATTAAATTTAAAGTAGTCCACCAGCTGTAGTCAAATCTTTTTTACTATTTGGCAGCCGGTGCTGAAACATATCCAGAAGAGATCCAACTGAAATCTTTGCTATTAGAGTTTTTCTTCTTAGCTCCTCGGTTTTATTGAATACTCTATCTGGCCCAGTGAGGCCAAAAGTATATGCTATCGAATAGAATATTTTATTCTACTACTTTTACTTAATATTTTTCTCCCCTCACAGAAATTCTTTCATCTGATTTTATCTAAATTTGAAAGGACAGTTTTTACAGTTAAAGAATATGTAGAAGATGGTGTGAAACAATGGTGCAGCGGGGATGGTGAGCTCTGTTGGGGCAAGGGTACTGCTTTTGTCTTTATCAGTTTCTGCTGTTGTTATTACACAAGTCATCTCAAACGGACTGACCATGAACATAACAACTAGCTCAGTGTACGTAAGTGGCTTCCCCAGTAATTAGATCTGAATACAACAGAGCACCTTTTGGATGGGGATGAATGGGAGACCATGGACCAGAATCTCAAAGAAATGTTTGCAGAATCAATTCCATGAAAAACTGTGGCTGTTCTGAGAGCAAAGGAAGGTCATACCCAGCATTAGTATGGTGTTCCTAATAAAGTGACCAGTGAACAACCGTTTCATCAATTTCATAAACCGTTTCATCGTAAATTGTATAAAAGTAACATGCCTAATGTTTTGTTATATTTTGCAAACTGGTGCTGCCAAAAGTGTCTGTAAAGTGATATAAAGCATGCAGTCATGCTAAATTAAGTCTGCTGTTCTTCTGCTGAAAAGTTAAAAGAGCATTATCAGTTGTGCAATTTAGCTTGAGAGGGGAAAAGCAAAGTGAAAGAACTAATTCAGTTTTATTAACTGGAATGTCATGCTGCGTTTTAACAGAACTGTGAACGTTATATCTCTCCACTAATTAGTAGCACTGAGGAGATGCTTGGTTCTCCCTGTAAATGGTCTGCACTTATATAGCGCTGTTGTAACAGTACAAAGCACTTTAAACTGTTTTTCGTTCACCCATTCACATATACACTCACACACACCAATGGCTGCAGAGCTGCCATGCAAGGTGCTAGCTTGCCATCAGGACTTGGGGTTGAACGGGGGTTTAGTGTCTTGCCCAAGGACACTTTGGCATGAGGAAAGATGTGGGCCAGGAATCGAACCACCAACTCTACGATTAGTGGACAACCCGCTCTACCACCTGATCCATAGCCACCACTGTAGTATTTCATCTTCAATAGCTGACTCTTTCAGAAGTAATTTCATAAGAATCAATCTATGGGTATGTATTAATTAACTAGATTGCACTCTAATTGCATAATATCACAATTTAAGAAGAATTTTAATTGTACAGTGAAAGTTGTACAGAAAGTGTGTGAACCTTTTAGAATTTTCCATAAATATCTGCAAAAAATGACCTAAAACATCATCAGACTTTCTTCATCATCAGAAGTTCTAAAAGTAGACAAAGAGAACCCAATTAAACAAACGAGACAAAAATATTATACTTGGTCATTTCTTTATTGAGGAAAATGATCCAATATTAAATTTCTCCTGTGAACTCTCTCCAGCCTGGGTATCACTGGAACGGTTCTGCACTGGGTGGAATCCTATCTCTCTGACAGATCCTTCAAGGTATCATCGAGGGGAGGTATTTCTGAAATTCAGCAACTCACAACTGGCGTTCCACAGGGGTCAGTTCTGGGTCCACTCCTCTTTTCTATCTACACTACATCTCTAGGGCGGGTGATTGAGTCTCATGGCTTCTCATATCATTGCTATGCTGACGACACCCAGCTCTAATTCTCCTTCCAGCCTGACAATCCATCCGTCTCTGCACGCATCACTGCTTGACTGTCGGACATCTCGGTCTGGATGAGGGAACACAATCTTAAGCTTAACCTGGCAAAATCTGAGCTTCTCGTCATCCCAGCCTGTCCCTCAATCAACCACAACCTCACTGTACAGCTCAGCTCACTCACACTTATGCCAACCACGACGGACTGGAACCTTGGGGTGACATTTACAGACCATATCTCAGCAACTGCAAGGTCCTGTAGGTTCATCCTGTACAACATCAAGAAATCAGACCCTACCTCACCGAACAAGCTACACAGATACTAGGTTCTAAGCTACACAGATCCAGGCTCTTGTTATCTCTTAACTGGACTACTGCAACTCACTGCTTTCAGGCCTCCCAGCCAGCTCCACCAAACCCCTTCAGATGATTCAGATGATTCAGCGCGCCTCGTCTTCAACCAGCCCAAGAGAACCCATGTCACACCCCTCTTCATCTCCCTCCGCTGGCTTCCTGTAGCTGCCTGCATCAAATTCAAGGCCTTGATGCTCACCTACAAGACCTTGTCAGGAACAGCACCGTCATACCTCAACTCTCTCCTAAAAGGCCTACGTTCCCGCTCGCAATCTGCAATCGATTAGCGACCGACGTTTAGTAAAACACTAGATTTAGTGAAACACTAAATGACATTTTCGGATATTTTAACCGAGGTGTTCGTATCGCACATCATAAAAGACTAACTTTGCATCCGTTAATTTTAATTATAGGAGAAATTTGGATAATTTTGAGCTTTTTACTGCTTCCTGCTTTAAAATCTCGACCAGTCACAAGTCTCAGGCAGTGACATGGCAATGTACTACAGTACTACGATAAGGGTCAAAGGTCACAATGTGCCATCTGTGTAAGTTGTGATGGTTAAAAGGAGTTTGAGAATTTTGAGAAGGAATATTAAAAATGAACTGCTCCTTAATACAGATGTGT